TACTCTATATTTAAATTGATGAATTAAACGAGCAGTACATTGCGCATCCATGTCAGATTAATTCAATGTTTATCTTTATTTTACTTTTTACATTAAATTACACTTTGCTATATTAGAATAAGACATGCCTATAGTTCAAGTAATTACCGAGATAAATTGGTAACAAATTTAACATATTCCGTCTTTTGTCATTTAAAAGAGTTTTTCTTTCTCTCTTTGTAAATACGAGAAACTCATGTTTATATATGTTATAGATAGGTATCAAATTAAATCTATATATTTTATATTATAATACTTTATTAAGTGGGGCAATTGATTAAGGATGTAATTACAAATTGATCTAACTGCAATAATAAATCACGAAATCGAATCAAAGTGAACGGCTACAATGTATAATATACTATCGGCTTTAAACGGATATTTTCGACGAAACGAATAAAAGATCCTGCATGTACAATCCTCGACAGAATAATCGAGCTCAACGATTAAGGTTACGTGATTTTTTATTATTTAACCACACTCACACGCGGACCAAGGTTATGAACGAAAGTGAAAAAAGGGTCGAGTAAGTGTTGCACTCACTTAATGGATATCGAATGTTTCCCCAAACTCGTTGAAAAATTATCGCTGTCAACCGATCTTCTTACTTTTTATAAATCACTGCCCAGCGATGGCATTCATGGTGAAGCTATAAGTAAAATTTAAATCAAAGATCTTTCTTCGACCCCATCATTTCTCATCGGCGCATCGTAATAATCCGAGTGACCGTCTCATTTTAAAGTGCATAAGCGAAGCAAATGTTACGCTCGTCAAGGCAGTTCCATTTCGTTATTAATGCCGGTTGTCATGCACGTCAGATAAATTATCGACGAAAAGGATAAAAAGAAATAAAGGAAAATAATATAAAGAAGATATGTACATATAAATGAAAGGCGAAAAGCAAACGGGACGACGTGACAAATTAAATTATATAGTGTTATATATTATGCATTTTATATTAAAATGCACTTCTATGTTGCGTCGTATGATGTGGGCATCGCAGTTTTAAAATCTTATATTGACTTCAAAAAATATCTTAAATTAAGAATTCTTACGACAACTCTCGATTTAACGATTGTGCAACTGTGCTCTTCTCCTTATTGAAAATTATGCGATGTGTTCTCTTTCTTCTTCACTTTTAAAAGTTACTTTATCTTTCACGTGCGCGCGTATAGACTTATTAGTGGCTTATCCTTACAAAACAAGAAGTCGCGCGAACGAGAAATCGTGAAGATCAAGTGAGATACGAGGCAAGAGTAAGATCAGGCCAATAAATATTAATTGCGGACCATGTTGACTTGTCGTGAAGGAAGGTTACGCGATATACGTGGGCCCACTCACCGTAATGTGATCGCGCCCTCGAATTTGCATAGCAAATGACCAGTTTCAACAAGCTTGGTTTAATTATGGGGTTTGACGACTCTGCATCTCTTCAATTTCAACTCTGTACACAAAGAAAGTATTTAACAAGTCGTCTGCCGGAATTCTACAGCAACTACCTCTTTCTCGTTTAATTGTACATATCCGAATATTTATAATACTCAGTAACAAATTGATAATCAAAAATAAAACGAGCTAGAATGAAAATCGAAAAAGTGAGTGTCCGTTCGAAACTTGAACCTTGACAAATTATCAACGTATAAATAAGACGCTTCATGAATAAAATAGTCCTGGTACTGTATTAATAAATCTAAGATATGAATCACGATTAGCATATATAAGCAATTTAAAGTATATAAGAGCGATAATCTTAGTATCAAGGTTATTGCAGACGATATTGGATTTCGACACGCAGATCGCTACATATGGATCATTTCCGTGGAATCGCCTGGCCGAGAAACAACGTATGTGCACGCGCTTCCCGAAAAGTGCGAGTGGTCCGCCTGCCCTGTTATGCAACGCAATTTAAATCGAGGCCTGGAATTTGGACGCCTTTCTCCCACGGCAAATGGATTCGGCGCCGCGTGCGAAAGAGCTCGAATTCGGTGGCATGAACACGTATATAATTCTTCTTCCTACGTTTCTCTGCTTCCTTACGTGCCGCGCGTTGCTCGTTTTTGCGCGGGCCGACATTCATAGTTCATTGGTATTCTTATATGTATGATCGTTTTAAGTACAATTTTAAGATGTCATAAAGCAGTCGCAAGGTCGGTATCCATAGTTGATTCTTATTTTATGATTTCCCTCTTGAGTAATATTTTAAGATGCTGATACGGCTGTGTAATTGAATTATGACATCTGAAGACTATACTTAAAATGATTTTAAAATAAGAAATGACTATAAAATACTGATCTTGGTCCTCGGGACGTTATATACCTTGTCTTAAAATATGACACTGTTTCAGTATCACTCCAAGTATAGCTTAATGGATTTTCTTTTGATTAAATCTTAACATTTAGAAGATGGGAAAGCCAGTATATATAGTGATACTGAAACAGTGTCATATTTTAAGACAAGGTATATAATGAAAATAATGAATTATAATAAATTTCATTCAAAAAAATTTTCTCTGTAAAAAGAGTTTCAAAATAAATTCCCGTTCTAAACGTTAATCTGTTACTAATAATGTGAGATATAAAAATCAAAATTAACTATTTCGATAATATAATATCATAATTTTTAGTCTTGGCGATTATCAGGTTTGATCGGATAAAATTGCACTTCAAATTATGCAAACCATCCCGAACAAAATCGAATGCATTGTGATGTAATTAGGCGAATATAACGTGGTAGAATTATTCGGCAGAATGTTCAATGGTTCAATTATCAGAATGAGTCGAATTAACGTTACTCATGTCGCGCGCAGCACGAGTCATCGCCGATCGGCAGAACACGACGGGCGACATTGCGCTCACAAAATTGATGTCTTTCCATTGTCATGCCCGCGATTCTTAGGCGGTGCAACGGCACTTTTGCAATCGGCGGATCGAGGCGAACAAAAGTGGAGGGTCCGCCGCGCGATCCTTGCGCGGCCGCGCGTCTCGGGGAGGTGCTCGAGAAAGGACGAGCGAATAGCGGAGAAAGTGGGTCAATTCTGGCGAACGCCAGAAATAACGCGATGCCGATCGCCGCGGTATTACGTGCGAGAGTTTACCCCATGCGTCAAGGGCACGTGCGGGCCCGTTCGAGGACCGAACAATTTAATGCTGCTCATTTCGGGGCGAGCCGCTACAAACGTCGAATTAAATCGAGAAGCAGAATCGTTTAAAGTACTGACAAAATTTCGAAATTCATTTTTCTTCATTTCGCCATCATTGTGATACGCGGCTGTTTTTAATTCTTACGATAATTTACATTATTCCATGCTTCGAGTATCATGTGGTCTAGGTTCCATAAAAGTTGTTTCACGAAAATGTGGGTAATAATATACGAAGTTTAATTTCGTATTAAGATTAAGTCACGAGTTATATAATTGAAAATTAGAGTGAATAATAAAGTGGCAGGTGGCAAAACGTAATTTCTGCTCTGAAGAGCTAAAACTTGTTCACGTTCCGTAATCCATATTTGTGTTTAATATCGCACGTCATAAACACATCACAGGGACCAGCTCTCAGTAATCCTGAATCGCGAGAGTGCCGGCGCTCGAAACGATGCGAAATAGATTCGGCACAAACGACAGCAGCGAGCAGTTTCGACACCATGTCGTGAATTTATATTAGCATGACGACACAGAACAATACGAATTGCAATCGCGAGCTAGAATGTCGCGCATATGACGCACACGATTAGCACATCACATGTGGTAATCGCTCGATATCTAGATTTTGATTGCTTTAATCATTTCGTCATTCTTTTCTCAGAAATCTCAGAATAGTAATATAGTGCTTAAATAAACATTGACACGTGGGCTTTTTGATTGATACGAATGCCATCTGTTTGATAGGCAGAAAATATAGTTGGCTCCTCGAAAGAAGAACAATAATTTTATTAAAATTGTTTATTATGTCAATTTGTGGTATATTATATAAGTACAACCAATAAGAAATTTGTCTTTGATGGTCGAGCTGGATCTTAGGTGCTAATTATAATTCTGCGTGAATTTATATATTACGTATGTAATCCGAACAATTTTTCGGTCTTGAAACGCCACTCGACGAAACTATCGCAATAATATCACGAGTTAAATTATCAAATGTACGGTCCTATAAGATTTAATATTTAAACATCATATAAGTAATTAAACGTGAATTTTAGATATTTTTATAAAATATTTTTTCTCTGTAATATTTTTGTTGTTCTCTGCAAAAACTTTGAATTTTTCGTAAACAAAGAAAGAAAATTAAGAAATATTTATATATTTAAACGTAAATTATAATGTGGTGGAATAAATCCTTCGGACAAAACCGGTATCACATAAAAAACATAATGCTTGGGCGATCATTATATATGTGGGGGGATACAATAAAATAATCAACATAATAAAGCTAAATCAAGGTGATCTTTCTGGTTAAATTCCATCAGTTATCACACAAATTATTTATACATTTTCACTTTTAATCAAAATTATAATAAATTATTTACATATTTCCATTTTATCTTTATGTTCAGTTGATCGAAATTTCGCGTAAAGTGAATCATTAATACTGCAAATGTAATTCCTGTCTATCTATTTTGATCTTGTATCTTTAATTTTTCTCTTTTTTGTTAAAATTTATTATAATGTTCGTTGCATGTTCCTTATCATATTTGACATTTCCTTGTATAATATTAAAAATGGAGGATTTCAATTTTGTCTGTTTATATGATATTATATTTCAATTTTCTGTAAATATTTGATTGCACACATGGTTAACAAATATATGGAATACATATACTCGGTATAACCATAAATAATATTTCACGTAATTTACTTAAATATTAAGTAGCTAACACACTGTATAATAATATGTACATTTATTAGCATATTATATGATGACGGCAGGAAACGATTAATAAGGTTTAGAAAACAAATAGTCTCAAATAAGTGTGTAATTTCTTTAATCAGTCATAAAAAGAACATGTACATGATATAAAAATAAATAAGTTCAGCCTGAGTCGAGACAATGTAGGTTGGCGTGGTCAACACGATTAATGAATGTAGGCAGTTGGGGCGGCATAAGAGATGGCAGATGCAGCCGGGGCGGCATAGGAGATGGCGGGTGCAGCAGCGATTTTAGCGAAGGAGGTAGCAAGAGGGGCAGCAAGAGGAGCTGCAAGAGGAGCTGCCAGAGAGGCGGGGGCAGCATATGCAAGGGGGGAGGCGGGGGCAGCATATGCAAGGGGGGAGGCGTGTGCAGCATATGCAAGAGGGGAGGCGTGTGCGGCATACGCAAGAGGGGAGGCTTGCGCGGTGTAGGCAAGGGGTGCAGCGTGCGCGATGTGGGCTACGGCAGGGGTGGCGATTTTAGCTACGGGGGCGGTGTAGGTGAGGGGGGCAGCGATCGGGGCGGCGAATTTGGCGACGGGGGTAGCGTAGGCGAGAGGTGCAGCAGCTACTGAGGTGGCCAACTTGGCGACGGGAGCGGCGTAGGTGAAGGATGCAGCAGCTACAGGGGTGGCCAGCTTGGCGACGGGAGCGGCGATCTTGGCGATTGGGGCAGCGTAGGCAAGGGGGGCAGCGGATGCGATGGGGGTGGCAATTGGGGCGACAGCTTTGACGGCAACGGCGACGGGTTCCTTGCGGACTACGGCGTTGAATCCATTGACTGGATCAGCGGTGTAGTCAACGGTGCGCCTGGTACCATCGGCTTCCAAGAGGGAGTAGCTACCCTGGACGAGGTCGCCGTCACGGGTCTCGTGTTGGCTCTTGGCATCTCCGGTCAGGCTGTCGTGCACGTCATAGGCGTAGCTGTATTGTGGATGCGGGTCGAAGTCGGCATCGATAGCCTTAGCCACCACTGCCTTGGCAACGGGAGCGGCGACAACCGCGGGTCCCGCAGCGTAAGCCAAGGAGGCGGCAGGCGCGAGAACACCAGCGTTGGCGACGGCCACGAAGGCAGCGAAAACAACAAACTGCAAAAGAATATGGATAAAGCTTTTGTTCTGTCTGTTTTATATGAGACGATCAAATTGATCTTGGTTTTACATTTCGATATACACTTGGAATTTGCATCCTCTTAATGTTCACTCGCGAATTTTATTATTGTGCGAAAACGAATTTCAGAAAGTACAAATCTTTGTCTCGAGAGCACTTCGAGTGTACAATCGAGTCTATAATAAATAATAGATTTTAAACACAATTTAACGGACTTTGAAAGTCCTCAGTGTGTTTGAGATCCTCTACCCACCTTGAATGCCATTCTTGAGTGGATTTGGTTGGTTTGGATCGACCAAAGCAAGACTGATGATGTGTAGTGTTGATCGCGGCCGCTTTATATACCCGGCGGTGGTCTGGTCTACCACTGTATGGATCCCCACCGTCGATCCTGGTGCCGGACTTTGAAAGTTCGTCGGCGTTGACTGCCGACCGCACTTGAACTTGGCACTTGCGATCGCGCACCCTCGTTCCCGATAGTTCGCGGACACTTGAAAGGATCTATCTGAGCAATTTTTGAAGCGAAGACGGAAGTAGCTCGAAATAACTTCGATATAATCGAATTACGACAATACCGGTTTTTCTCATTTCAAGATACAATATACTATGTGAATGAGACAAAGAGAATGACATTTTTGAGCCATATCTTATTAACTGAATTGTGTAAAGTTTCGTGTTCCGTAAAATGGGATAACTTTTATCCAGGTGGGAAGAGATAACTTTGGTCCAATTTAAAAAATCTAGATATATTTAGACGCGTATCTAACATCAAGCCATAAGACGTTTTAATAAATATTTTATATCCTGATTTTTGTGTATGTAATATCTAGGCATTATCGAAATTTGGACCACATTTACAGTATAAAATTGACGTATTAAATTAAATGAATAATTATAATAATAATAATTAATTTTTTAATTTAAGATAAAATATATAAATTACAGAAATAATTTTAAAAAATTATCTCAACAGTAAATTCTTTATTAAAGTATTTTTTATACTATTATTGCATTATTAACTGTAATAAAAATTTTCTCTTTGGCAGCAAAATAAACAAATAAAAAGTATTACTGCTACCTTTTGTCGCAGTAATGAATCTCTTCCTTTATAAAATAGGCACTTCGAAAAATAAGTAAACATAAATTGCAATACGCGTGTTTATTTGTACTAATCATTTTGCGTTCATTTCTTGGAGTATTCCGCAAATCAAATCATTCGTTTCTTTTTCTATTGGCGTAATTTTTCGTGTCATTGTGTAATACCCCTGTTTGACTTTGTAAATTACTGACCATGCCAAACCACGCTTTTCGTATGCGGTCCTTGAACGGGACACCGATTTCTCGAGAGGCATCAGTCGAGAACGGATTAGAAAATTATAATACAGATTTCCAACATGATATGAGAGAAGTTTGCGTCATTAGGCTCAGCAAAAATAAACTTTAAGAATTCTAAACTATTAAGAATCGAGATAACAGTTAATGTTCACATGGACATATTTGATCGTCAAGTTGATCGTCAATATGCGACAATTCTAGCATTATTATTCTTAGAATGTGATTTTAATGGTTCCTAAAATAATAACTGGTATAATAGAGATATTAAGGATATTAATTCTCTCTCTCTCTCTCTCTCTCTCTCTCTCTCTCTCTCTCTCTCTCTCTCTCTCTCTCTCTCCAGTGTGTCCTCATGATTCTTGAATCAAATTATAGTCAGTGTGGCTTTTGAATTAACATTCTCTATTTACATTTAAATTTGAATACATGATGAATTATAAAATTTGTTAACTGTAAGATTAAAAATTTGATTGTTTCCGTTAAAATTGATATTAAAATATTTTTGAACTCGCTATGTATTCACATATTTATAATTTTATATATAAAAATACTAACGAAAAAATTATAATACTTATAATTTTATTTAATGAAAATACAATACAGAGATTTATGTGTATATTATATGTATGTTCTTTATATTATGTCTATATTATAGCCTTTCTTGCTATGAAAGTTTTTATAAAAGAACATTAATTCCTTCATTACAATTATGATCAATTGTTCCGGGATATTCGATTTCTTCCCACGCACAAGAGATAGTGTCGAGAATATATGAAAATCATGATATATGTCGTTCGTCATTGCCGTGAAACTTTCAAGCCATTCCGATTTACGTGTCTTTGCCAAATGTGTCGCGACAGACCGCGGGATCGCATTATTACGACATATCATCTAACGTCGTCGGGCCCGTGCCAGAGAGAAAAAGAGAAGTGGAGCACTTTCATAAAGAAGAAATAGGTGGGTCGCCCGAATATTGCGCGGTCGGGGCCCGTGCCGATCGATCGCAAGCCCGCAGGCATTATCGGGCAGTTTTGTGCTGATCGAGGTTCGAGATTTCGCTCGTCACCGTCGTTTTTATCGTCCATTCTGCTGACTGGTTCACTGCCCACAAGATTCGCGTGAAATCGCTATTTATCCTCAATCTAACGCAAAGAAAACCGTCGCGGTGATTTCAATCCGAGACCAATATCTGGAAGTTAACAATTGAAACACAAAGAAGCCGAAAATTTTGAACGTGTACGAGATCTCAGTCACGTAATCATCAAAGAAAAGGATTTGGAACGTGCATCAAGCGAATCGTCTTTGCAGCCTTTTCGGATATATGATTTTACAGATTTTAATTTATGCTGAGAATATATGGGAAAGACTATATACAAGATATTTTAATTACACAAATTATTCATTCTTTGTTGTTTAAATTCATTGTTGAGAACAATATGTGTTGAAAAAGATTTAATTAATCTAAATGAAGGAAGGATAAAATCCTTTATTTTCAATATATGATAAAAGAAAACATCAAAAGGAATGTGATAAGGAATGTTAACGTAATCACAATTAATTTGCGTCAAAATGTAATCTCACGAGTTACGATATGCGATTGCATGTTATAATATTTTTTCAACAGATCGATAAAATGCGTTTGATGCTTCTCCATAAAGGAGACAATTAACGAGATACAAACATTCATTTGGCGTAAAGAAAGGAAGAAAAGAAGAAAGGAAAAGAGACCTGTTGGCTTTGATTCAGCCGATTATGGAAACGATCGAAGGTCATGCCAGGAAGTACATATACATGTGCATGGCAGTGAATCGGCAGTAAATTACACACCAGATGACCCGGACGTTAAAACCAAGCTTGCCTTCTTAGCCGAGGAACAACGCTTTGATCCGGATCCCTGCGGCGCGTGTCAATTATTGGAACAAGTCTTACTGTAATTTCAAGTCGAGCCGCTTTTGTATTATCGCGATTCAAAATATATGTTTTATTTATATATATTAAAATTAATGACCTTCGCTTCGCTTAACATAGAAACATACGCGCATCTTTTACTTGTACCTACCAACTTCGAAAAATGCAACAAATATCGCAATATACAATTTTAATATGTAATATGTGATATTGAATGCTAGTCCAAAATAAATACTTCATCAAAGCATTCGATCAAGTAATCAGAAGAATTTTATTGATCGATCAATTAAAAGAATTCTTCAAAGTATTTGCAGCATCAAGTGAACAGTATAGCCATTGTAAAATAAATCAATACAAACACACGCATCGAAATTTCTCTTTATTATTTTATTTGATGCGTATCATCTTCCTTCAATAATTATTAAAATCCCCAGCAAACACTAATTAACAATAATATAACATATTTCAGTTTTTAAGACTGTGCTTGAACTGGAACTTGTAAAAATTTACACAAAAATATTATTAAATACCAAGACTCGTCTTGACCGAATATAGCTCTTCACTCATGTATTGAACATTTCTTACTTAACATTGTTTAATAACATAACTCTCTGCATAGTTACAATTTCCCACTCAACAATAAGCCTAATATAACTACAACTACAACTTAACGTAATAATTATATTGATGAATGGAAAATTATGATCAACTGCAGCTGTTACTGTTAGATATAGTATTTGCTCGATATATTAAATATCTTATATATTTATTATAAGAGTTATAATTTGCAACTTGTGTTACAGGTATGTACGAAATTTAAAATTAGAATTGTATATGAAATAAATTACATAAATCTTCTGTAACACACATGTTTTATGTTCTAATTTCTATATATATTGCTCAGAATTATTATCACTTCCGAACGGAGTTCGTTCTTTTGTTACATATGCGCGTTAACACATGACATGCGTTTCGTGATCCAGAAGATTACAATCCATCAAGCTTCAAAATTACGAGACAACGTGTTTCGAAACAGTTCGCATAATTATCTGGACTGGTGATACCCGGGTAGGCGGCTTACGTATCCATTAACTTCTGGCCCGAGTACCGATCGACACTGCGTCACTGTTGCTCACGCAAGTTGATGCAAGTAGCATCGTGTCATTCTTTATTGCACAGTACTATATGCAACTTGTCACATCGATTGCGTTCCGTGTTACGAGGGAATGCTTGGTAATTAAGATTAAATATTTAATTAAGCATATAGAGCTGTAGTATTATTGGTAACGGTTTCAATTGTCGAAACCACCAATTATGAACTCTATTCATCAATTTACAAAATTATTTTACAACGAAAATGGGACACATTTATGCTAACAATTTCTAAGCAAATGCAACAATTGTAAAACAAACTCCGTAATATAAAAACTTCAATAAAAATCAGAATGTCCAAACGAAACAAATAGTAAAGAATTCAGAAACGTGCGGCATTAAAGTCATCAATCAAAGAGTTAAAAAATTTTATGAAAAGAATGATAAATGAGCTTCGAGAGAGATTATAAATAAGTAGATTTTCATGGATCCAACAGTTTTCATGAGAAGAAGAGAAGTTATGCTCTTTATTATGAACTGTTATAGATCAGGATTGCAACCGTAAATATGACATAAAGAACTTCATAAAAGTATTTGACTGTATTCGTTCGTTTACATGCAGTTACGTAACTAAATGTAAAAAGATCGTGCTTAAAAGCTTAAAATATCCTTATCAAGTCTGCAAATTGACACCCATACTTTTGCATGGCATCTGAAAGAATCTTGTTTTATATGTAAAAGGACGTACAATCTTTAAAAAAGAAAAATATTCCTTAAAATATTATGTTTGCAGCCTTTCTGATGGAAAGTCTTGAAATATAAGAAATATAAGTATTACAAGGTCTTAACGACCATGAACAGATAATCAATATCAGTGCGCGAGATCATTTTAAAATATAATCATTTTTGCATTATTACATTAATCATTTTCTGCATTAAGAATAGTGCCAACAGTATGGATTTTCGTAATTTACTAACAAAACTCATCAGATTCACAAAGACCATCAGACGTAAGAAGGAGAAAAGGTAGAAGAGAGAAGTTTGGAGGGAAATAAAGAGTAAAAGAATAAATGCTCTGTAATAACCCTCTGAAACAGGCGGGTTGAGCGGAGGAGGACCAGCAGGTAACTCGTGGCAAGGACGTGGCCTAGTCCCCGACGACGACGACCGGTGTTCGTTGGTCCTTCAAGATGCGAGAGCAGGGGCCCGATTCGATCCCAGCTCGTCGCGCTCTCATTGGGCGTGGTCCGATTTCTTGCTCAATTTTGCGCTCTTCGCGACCGCGAATCAGGTAGCCGTCGAAGATACCGTCACCCAGTTACATCAGTGAGCGGGTACAACTTGATATGTGTGTGTGTGTGTGATGGCGGTAATGTGATGTGATGTTGTGTGGGCCTCCAGGGCTCTGAGCAGAGTGGTATAAAAGCCGAAAACCATCTTCCGTTGGTATCATTCGCATCAGACTTGCAAGATCGAGCAAACTACTGATCAACACAGCAGCCATGGCCTTCAAGGTATTACATCCTTTTTTAGTCCTTCTTGACATAAGTTCAAACTGCACCGGGAAAGTACTATCGGTCGATCCACGATAAGTCGGTGAACTTCTTCGCAACGCAAAGTTCATCGGTTTCTGGTTGGGTTCTCCGTAATTACAATTTGAAAATAATAACGGTGCGCTCATAACATAGTATTTCTCATAACATCATTAATCGACATGAAAAAAATAAAACAATATTAACGATATTTGCGGGACCACTCGAAAATAGCACGTTTAACATTTTCCTAAATAAATTTCGCACCTGCTTAATTTTACGCTATAAGTTTACTCGTAAAATCTTTCATGATTTTGACTGAGTTTGCTTAACTTACATTAGTTTATATATTTTTTTCATTGTGCAATTTGCTATATCAATTCTGTATATCTTTTTTATATATCTATCTATATATATTTTATATTTCTGTACAGTTCTGTATTTTCGCCCAATTCTATGTACACCCATATTATATTTTACAATATTTTATTCGATTTATTTATTACGTTTTTTCCGCAGTTCCTCGCTTTCGCCGCCCTGATCGCCGCCGCCAACGCCGGTGTTATCGCGCCTGGTGCCCCTCTGGCCTACGCTGCGGCTCCCGCGGTTGTCGCCAAGACCGTTGACGCCGACTACGACCCGCACCCACAGTACAGTTACGCATACGACGTGCACGACAGCCTGACTGGTGATGACAAGAGCCAGCAGGAGACCCGCGATGGCGACCTCGTCCAGGGTAGCTACTCCCTCTTGGAAGCCGATGGCACCAGGCGCATCGTCGACTACGCCGCCGACCCAGTCAATGGATTCAACGCCGTAGTCCGCAAAGAACCCGCCGCCGTTGCCGTCAAGGCCGTCGCCCCTGCACCCCTCGCTTACGCCGCCCCGATCGCCAAGATCGCCACCCCTGTGGCTCATGCCCCTCTGGCCTACGCCTCCCCGATTGCGAAGATCGCCACCCCCATTGCTCATGCACCCATCGCCTACGCCTCGCCGATCGCCAAGGCCATCTCCTACGCCGCCCCCGCTGCCTACCTCCACTGAACTGTGACCTGATCACTACTTAGGAATGATACTTACCGAATAAATATCAGTTCTTGTAGCAAGTATATAAGTTTTACGAAATTATCTTCGCCTCTATCTGCAATGTATTTTTTCGTTAATCAAGTGGGAACCTAGAAAAAAATCCGATTTAAATTGCGGGATATAGCAGCTGCGTTTATTATTAGAAAGAGCCCTTTTTTAATATATATAGAATTCTAGAATTCATTTTCTCATGCTGGTAGATGACTGAAGAAACATCTTCAGCTATCTTTTTCTCGATGCGTGTGTGTATATTTTTCAATCATTTAGAATAAGACTTGGAATAATTGTGTTTTGAATGTGTAATAATCATGATTTTCTCACAGAATCATTTTTCATTTGTAGTTACTGTTTTTTCCTGATTGTCACTATTATTAAGATCTCAATCTGCTTAAAACTACTGACAACACAAAGTGATGCAATGCCTATTTTCCTTTTTATTAAAAATTAGTCACGTGCATCCATCGAACTGACAAGTAAAAATTGTATTATTCGGCAATTTCAAATGAGAATCGATGCTGTTTTCACGAGCGATATTGCATAAAATTACATAATTCGAGAGACATGTGCACTCAAATTTACAAACGCGAGTAATCGCGTAATAATGTAACGTAATACGTTGTCCAATTTGCTAAAAGGGGTAAAAAAAGAATCGCACGGATCGAAAGTTGTCGAGGAACCGCATCGAATTCGACCAGGCCCAATTAGTGAAATTAGGTCAGGTACTACCTGCCGCGGACTCACCGGTGTTATCTCGCCTTTCCGTGACATTACCGCATTACCGATTCACGAGCGCTCGCTGAGCACTTTCTCCGACGAAGTGCCAGCATACGGATTACATAACGTCGGTTACCACGCCTCGTCCCCAGCCGGCCCGACACACGCACCGGCCAGTCGACTCACGCGCATCGCATGTAATACGCGCGTAATGCGTAAAGGCGTGTTGCGTTATAGCCGGGAACCGTGGCCGGACCAGATTCGCACAATGCCGTGCGAACCTTGATCTACTTACCGGTCTGGCGTGGCCCGCAACGTACAACGTTTCGTGCGTACCCCAGTCCTCTCTGGCTGATCTGGATATCCAGCCTGTTTTGGCAACGAGAAAAATTCTGAAGAGAAGTCTCTTGCGAATTTCTATAGTTTGTTTATGTGGATATAACATAATTACGTCATATCTAGAAGGAGATGTGGAAGCTTGAAAAGGAAGCAAACTTGTAAAAACGGATTATCAAAACAGTTGTTTTCATAAGAATTTATTATCAAAAAAGAACATTTGTATATCTACTATACGGTACGATTGAAGGCACTTTATAATTTGCAAACTCTTGTTCCTAAACTAAGTGTTGTAACAGCTTTAATAAGCTATGAATTTGAGTTATGTAAAGAATACTTATATCGTGCGTATACAAACATATATTCTGAATAATTTCTTCTGTCTTATGAAAAGCATACAAAGTAAATTACAAATTTTACTTTTAATCCTTTCACTCTTAAACCAAGTTTGAGAGTTTCTCTCTTTCAACACAAAACAAATAAATTATTTTCACTTATTTTTAGAAAACAAGTTTTATACACCTACGCTAAAATTAAAATTTTTTTATATCAGGTAAACGTGTAATAACATTGAAACACTAAAAAAAAAATGAAAATTTATTGACTCAAGCCTCTTCTCTCTGGTGGCTGTAATCTAGAAAAAAAAGAAATATACATTCAAACCATTCCAACGCAATGTTTTTGAAATTATTAAATTTATTTGGCAATATTATAAACTTTTATGATATTTAAAAATAAAACTATTATTTGAAACAGACAAAATATTTATATTTTCTCGATAAAAACTTTTACTTACTGATGAATTGTTACATAATCATCGGCAAGAATGTGCGATGTATCTAGAGGTGTAAGGAAAGCAAATTGACTCTGTGGATGTGATTTAGTGTGATCCAAAAGAATATCCATTATCACCCGTCGGTTTACTTTGTCCTATAAACAAACGCACATATAGACGGTTATTTTTTTTAACAAGACAAATTCAAGATATATACGTATGAATAACTTACCATGAATACATCGAATTCATCGAGAAAGTAAAAAGGTAACTGAACACAATCCCATAGAGCCAAGATAAACGCGACGGTCGAGTAAGATCGTTCGCCTCCCGAGAGCGATCTGGTGTCGTTACCAGATTTTTTATCATCTCGTGCACAAACATGCAAATCAAGTACTTTGTTTACGTGATCGATCACTACAGTGCCCTGGTAAAAAGAAAGTAGAAAAATCATTTGTAAATAAAAAAATTAATAGAATTAAAAAATATTTCTATATAACTATATCAATATTTCTATATACCTTGTATTGTCTTAAAGAGAGCATATCAGTGAAAGATTTTTGCACATAAACACTATACATATCCCTCAATTGGAGAAACATTTTCTGTCGATGTTTAACTCGTTCGATATGTTTCTGCAAAGCATATAAATGTGTTGTAAGTACCTATTCTCTTGAATAATTAATGGTCAGTAAAAATTACATGGATAATTTACTTACTTCATAACTTTTCTTTAATTTAGAAGCAAACTCAATGTTTACTCCATACTTTTGCTGTTTTTGTGACAATTGTATCCGTAATTCATTCACACAGCCAAACTGATTTTCTATTTCGCGAATTTTATCTTTTAAATCAGTCAATACAGTTTTGATTTGGTTTATCGACCTGTAAAAAATAAAATATCAAAATGTAAGGTAAATAAAGTATAAATAAAAATTAAGAATTATGAAATAATTTGGAATGCACACATAACATCACATCAATATATAATATCAACCTGGTAGTATTTATTCTAGCACATTTTTCAGTAGCAACGGAAACCGCTTTCTTTGTAGCTCTCTCTTGTATTTCGAATTCCCCCGTTGCGCATTGTATAGCTTGACGAGTATCCTGTAATTTTCGAGTAGAACGTTGACACTCGTACCGATGCCTTTCCTTCTCTCGTGTCAATTCCCTTATTTGGTCCTATATAAAGATAATTAATACGTTAAACAGGGCGAATAAGAGTCAAATTTCAATAAAAATTCTAAATCTAATAATAATTTATTCTAATATTACAATATATATTGCAAAGAATATCACGTAATTTTTTGCGTTTCGTCCCGGTTTCCACTACTGGACTTATCAGTAAAGTCTTGTGTCCACGATACTAGAAATCGGTCCGAGATCTCGGATGAAGGAAAAATTGACCAATTACATTGGTCATGTGACCAAATTGTTCAAATGTGATTTGTTAATTCTTTCTTCATCCGAGATCTCGGACCGATTTCTAGCATCGTGGACACAAGGCTTAAGGCATTGTAGTGGAAGTCTACCTTATATGCCTTGGTAAGTTATTAAATTCTATATAAAGAGATATACGCGTGTCTCAGCACTTACGAGAATTTGCGAATATCGATAGATCTCTGATGGCGAGTCGACGTAGTGATATTCTTCGCAATATATTTATCCAAAGTAAGAAATATATGTGAAATGTACCCCCCTCCCCAAATATTGCGCACCGAAAGATTTTCGGTCTTGCAACGCAACTCTAATCTGAAATGTCCCCTCTCCTTATATAAAGATATATAAAATATTACCTATTATATTCTATATTAATAGATATTAATTATTAAACTAACGAATAAACATACTTTAAGAGGATCAACAACTGTGTGTAAATTATGCCTCAAGTCCCTGCAACGCTTAACTTCCATATCAAGAGACTCAACGTTCTTTTGAAGTTCTTGCACATTCTCCGCTAAAAGTTTTCCCGCGGCACTTTCAAGCGCAATCTTCTTTTCTATTTCAGCAGCTTCGTGCCGCTATTAATAATAAATTAAACAATGTAACTATATTATTCTGGAAAATAAAAATAGTACTATTACAAAATATTTTTAATTACTCACGAAAACATCAACAGAAGTGCCTTCAATCGTCTCAATTTTATCTTTTAATTCATTAATTGAATTAGTACATTCACTTTGCGCGGATCTTAACTTGCGGACCATTGTGTTTACGTTAGTTAATTCGGAATTAGTACGATTTAGTTTTTCACGTATAGCATTACATGCTACGATAGCTTCCTGCTTTTTGTTTTCCGCTACCTGAAGTTCTTCTTTTAGCGTTCTAAATGAGAAATTAATAGAATTATTAATAATTGCATTAAATTTTCTTTTGTATAATATAAAATTATCGAACAGAGTTTACTGTTCCAAATTAAGTTTGTAGCACTTACTGCATTGCTTCCATGGTAGAAACTTGAAGATACTTAGCACGTGTCCCACAGTTTCCACCGTAAGTTCTATAATTTGGGTCAGGAAAGAATGTGTCACCATGAAGAGTAAACGCTCTTTTGCAATTTTGTGGCACTTTTGTCGCATCTGACATTATCACGCAAGCTTCTTCATTTGTTGGTATAAGAAGTATGCATTCAATTTCACGTTGATCAATCAAAGAATTAGCTACGACAGGATCTTCTATAACCATTGCTTCCAAGAGATTGGAATACTGTGGTGAATATGTACAATGACGTCTAACATCATGTATCTAAAAATTTAAAAGATTTAAAGTTTAAAACTTTAATGTTAATTTGACTTTAAGATGTTTAAAACTTTTTTTTTCTAAAACCAAGAGAGACAAAAAAGAAGAGATTTAAACCTCTTAAATTTAAAATAACATTGATGCAATCTTAGTTATGCACATTATCTAAGTTAAAAAGACATTATTAATTATGCTTGCTTGCTTTTCTTATTTAAGAAGTTAGTGGAAATATTAAATATTTATATACAGTATTTATTTCTATTATTCTTCCAATAAATACTTTAATTTTAAAATAATAAAGATTATGTTCTCTCACCTGATTAAAGAATTTGCTACATATTATTGGGAGAGTACTCTCATGATAGAAAATTTCTTTCATAATACTGTTCAACAATTTGGCATCCTGACTATTATCAACACAGAACGAGCTAAGGGTGCCAAAACCTAGAAAATTTTCTATAGCCGGGGCCCAAGCGGCATCCTTCAATTTTATGAAAGCACCTATTTAATCACGTAATTTAATAAAATAACTAACTTTATACAATAGTTAATTAATTTCGACATAATTTTACATACCAATAGGACCACGTGGTTTTTCCTTGAATCGTTTTTTCTGATATTCCTCCTCGATTCTCTTCAACAGGCGCGGCATGTTTCGTCCAAATACACTTAATGCATTATCGGATTGTTGCTCAACAGCATTTAAGTCCTTTCTGATCTTTTCTTTAATTTCATAAAATAAAATAATTTTTTTTATATACTCTAATTATGGGAGTTATTAATATTACTACTAATTTGATATAATTTACGTATATGCCTATCGAAATTGTCCATTTCATTTTTGGCGTATGTCACTTCTTGCTGAAGTCGCATTTTATCGGCCTCTAAATGCATCAATCCAGTTTGCTTAGTGCGTAATGATGCTTCAAGTTCATCCAATTTTTCCTCCAACTTTGATAGGTGCTCTTTCATTTCTTTTTTCTTGTTATATTCTTCATTATTGCAACTATAAAGACATATTTAACATATAAACTTAAAAAAGAACATAAAAACAAAATATTATTCAGAAATATATTCTTACCTTTCAAGCTTTTGAATTTCCTTCTTCACCAAATTAGCATCCTCTTCATACCGTTTTATTTTGCTTGTTACAGAACGCCATTCGCGCTGTTTATTTAAATACGCCTCATTAGCAACCTTATGTTTCTGTTTTGCACCATCATAAGCTTCGGTGCTATCTATTACTTCCCGTTCTGCTTCCCGAATTTTTTCCTTTATTTTTCTATAAAGTAATAAACACACGATGTAAGATAACATTTATAACTTATGTTTTATCTTCTCTATAAAATAAAGACACAAGATAAGATATAAGATAATTCATTTTTTGCAATAAATAACATATACAATAAATGTTAAAATTTATCAATTAATAATAGATCCTATTAAAAGTAAATTATAATATATTAATTTCATTTTACATAATTTTTTTATTTGTAAATTGATTCTTACTCGATATTTTCATCAATTTCTTGGTCTTTTGCTTCTGTAGACAATTCCATATTTTGAAGCTCTTTTAATTTATCTTCGTACATCTTTAAAGTTTCCTGTGCTTTATTAAGTTTGGTTTCTTCCACAATCGCCTAAATAAATAATAAAACTTTTATTTAAAAAATTATTTATCAATTTCTATTTTCTTTAAACTGATACTCACTGTAGCCCAATGAAGTTCCATTTCGAGATTAGATAATTCTGCTCGTGATTCGTCCATTTCCTCTAATCTACGTATGCTTTCCTCCAATTTTTGTATTTGTTTCTTTTCGTGATACAAAGTCTGACACATAATAAGAAATTAGAATACTTGTCCACAATAAGATAAATTAATTTAGCATACATACCTCATTATATTGCTTTAATTTATCATATTCTTCTTCACATATATTAAGAGCCTCCATATAATTATTTTCAATAGAATCTAATAAAGTAGCTTTCATGAACAGAGTATACTTTTCTTCAGGCTTAGAGGTAACTAAAAATGTTCTTGAAACATCCTGATTCAACACAGATATTGGATTATCAATTTGTATATTCATCATTGTTATAATATTGTCCAATTCGTCTCGTTTTGTAGAAATAATTTCTCCTGCAAATAATAAATTTCTGTAAGTACATACTTCTTGGAGATTTAAAATAAACTTATATTTCAATTTCCAAGTACCTCTCCAATTTTTAATCTTATATGATGAGGTAGTTCCAATGGTACGTAAAACTATAATCGTATCACCGTAAATATCTGGCTTGTAGGCAGTGTCTCCTTTATTTACTAAAGTTATCTCAACAGTAGCAGAATTTCTGCCTTTTTTTATAAACTCTAAATTGTCATAACAAACAATATATTATTAAGTTATTCTACAATATGTATATGCAATATAAAAAAAAAACAAATTGTATATAATAACCTTTAACAGAGGTTCCTCTACTCGTAACATTTGCCCTAGCACCAAGTCCGACAGTCAATGCAGTCAATATGGCACTTTTGCCACTGCCGTTACGTCCCACGATAAAGTTAACATTCTCGTTTAATGTTATTTCTAGTGCATCGTGGCACATAAAGTTATTAACACGAATCTTTTTCACCTTTCCAGCCGTACACTATAACAAACATGATATATTAAATGTATTTAAAATATATATTTTAAAAACCCTGTTAAATATATTTAAGATATATGTTATAATAATCCTGAATAAAACTGAGATTGGTTCATTTATATTAAAATCACAAGTTTAATACAAGGTGATGATTGATTTTATGGTTTTCAACTAAAAAACTAGAACAATTGTTGAATACTTTCTATTTAGTAACACAATTCGATACAAAGATTATTTTACCTTTCTTGACAATCAGTGAATAACAAAAATAAAATAAGGCTTGTGTCTGCTTGTGTCATCAAATGGAAAACATCCAGTATGAATCTAAGATTTTATGACCTTAAAAATAATCTACTCAAAAATTGTTTTAAATAAAATTTAATTAGTGTTTCAAAATTGAATGTCTAATTGATTTTATAATTGTTCGGGACTTTTTGATTATTTGAAAAATTGTTTGGTGCTTCCTATTTAGTAGACATAAATAGACACACATATCAATCTGTCTTTGGATGCTTCTTTTTAAGAGACAATCGACATAAATGTTGTTCTATCCTTCTTAGCATTCGATGAATAATAAAGATAGAATTTATGGGTTGACTTACATCATCAAATGGACAGCACCCTTTGTTATTCATTGTATATCCGAATAGAATTACATTTGTGTGCCAACTTATTATTGAATGAAAAAAATCAGTTATCGACTAGCATGCAAGGTACGTACCTCCTCATTCTGCACTGCATCATCCTCGATACGTTTGGAACGTTTGGCCTGGTGCTCGTCCAACTTTTCTGCCGTTTTTCTTCTTCGAGTCCTCGCGTCGTTTTCCATGCTTCTCGTAATATGAATCGATGGTGCATTTAAACAAAGAGCGACCGCAATCGCGCCGTTCAAATCCAATCTCCGTGACACCTCTATCGAAATACGTTGCAAGATTCCGCCGTCGATCTAGTCGATCTCTTAATCGTTGGAGTTTGTCAAGCGAATAAGAGATTTGTATACTCCGTCTGTAATCTCTCACGCCGAACACAGAAATAATCGAAACCCATGTGAGCACCACTCCTATTCGCTTAGCAAGTTCCTGTTCGTTCCTGTTCGTTCCCGCCAGACCGTTGTAGATTGTTCTCCACTTTCCCCTTCTTCCTTCTATAACGATGTCCTTGACTAGCTTAACTCGACATTCCTAAACGCGTCTCGCAGTGACCCGCGCGCTGATTGGTCGACTCCGCTAACTCCACTTTATGAATCCGTCGTAAAATTGGTGGAAGTGGAGCCAGTGGATTGAGTCATCTTGAAACAATTAAAAAGTGAAAATAACAAAAGTAAACAAATTTACTGGAATATTTATAATTTTATTATTAGTACCCGGTAAATACCAGGTTAGTACCTGGTTAAATTTCGTCGAGGGTGTAATCGCACTCTTGAATTACGGTGTACATACGTATGTGTGTACAAATCTGTTAGACTAGCGTATTCGATTTATTAACTTTTGACTCGATTCCGAGTCAATAGTTTGTTCTTTTTAACTGCATTTCTTGAAGGGTTTAGCTCTTCTTTTGCAGGTATACAGAACAGACTATTAGACTATTGATTCGGAGTCAGGTTGAGTTAGTAATGGCTGCATACAATGAAGGAATAACAGAGAATAGGAACAGAAGTGAGAACAAGAATTTCAACCCATCAGAAATTGTGTATTCCACGATGCATCGTTTCTTTACTTCTTTACTTAATGGCTCTCGCTTCTACAAACAAATAGCAGGTCGATATTTGGCATAGTCCTCTTCTCTTTTGTTTCAGGTTCCCCATCCCCACCCATCCACTTTCTGTGGAATATTCTGTAACTATTTTTACACGCCTACCGACAATTGTCGATATCGTTGCGCAGGTCATCTCTGTGGAAGGTTGGAGGTGGTTGGAGATATCTTGAATATGACTAGTCAAGTTTACCTCGAATGTGTTCCGTTTCTTGCATGATACGCATAATTCATCGTTTATCTTTGTTGCTCGTCAAATGTTAAGCAAAGGCAATTGATGCATCATACGTGAAACGTAACGCACATCTCGTCCACGAGGACTGTTACGTCCTACGTAAAGCCAGAAACACATAGAAAAACGTAAGGCCGTAAGACGTATCAGTAAGGAAATCTAACAGGACCAGAGATTTATATCTTGAAGAAGGAAAAGAACAAGAGATCGATACGACATGCATCGTTACTATAATTTGAAATTTTTATTCTCTGTTCCTATATTCCTATTCCTTCATTGTGCGTAGTCTAAAGGCCTATGCACAAAAGAACAAATATTAGGGCAGGAATAAATATTGGATGCATCCAGAAATATGACCACTCATTGGGTGCATCCAGAAGCACGACCGCTCATTGAGCGCTCAGTGAGCTTTTTTATCTGATTGACATATTCCATTACATCTAAAAATATAAACCAAACAGAGCGTTCAGTGAGCGATCGTGCTTCAGGAGGTCGATTGTGTATCTCGAAATGAAATAAAAATTACAAAAGTGAGCAAATTCACTAGATATTGACCAATTAAATTATTAATATTTTAGTAAAAATTTGTTCACCTTTGTAATTTTCATTTTATTTTAAGATACACAATTGACTCCATGGATGCACCCACTAAGATTTGAATTTATCAGAAACCGTATATTCCGGTGTAACTGGCATCTGATAGGTTGAAATCTTAATATTTATTCTTATTTCTAATATATCCTCCATTGTGCGGAGAGCCTAATAAGGCCGGAATCAGACTACGGAATGAAGTGAGATTGAGAATTGAAATTTGACCAATGAGAATAAAAGAATTTTAGCTTTTATTATTTTGATTGGCCAAATTTCAATCTTTCAATCTTCAATCTCAATCTTTAATGCGTAATCTGATTCCGATCTAACACCCATTGCCATCAATGTAGATCGATTTTAATCTTATATAGCGTTTTTTATTAACGGAGTCGGGTCGAGTCAGTTAGGGTTGGATTATACTGGCCGTAATCTGTTAACTTATGCCATAATCTGTAAAAATTGACCAATTATAATCGATTATTCCCCTCTCATTCAACTGTGATTGGTCAATTTTTACAGATTACGCCATAAGTTAATAGATTACGGCTAGTATAATCCAACCCTTAATCGAAAACGCTATTAGTTTACTGTTTAGCATGCTGTTTTTTCTAATCCTAAAAAATTAGAAAAAGGTAAAAGAATAAATTGAACTAAGATTAAAGTTAATCTTACATTGGTGAAATTGGGTAGAAATCGAATACGTTATAAATCCGTTAAATTCTTAAAGGGTGATATTCATAGTTCATTTTTATTTAAAGACCGTCTTAAAGTGCTAATGCAATTCTTCTGGTTGGTTCATAATATTTGAAAATTGCACTTAAGACAATCATAAATATATAAGAATTGACTATCAATTGGCCTCTGATTGGTTAATGATATCTTATTAAGACCTAAGATAGTCTTATGGCTTCTGCACACTGGACGCGCGGAAACGCTTACGCGTGGTAAAATGTGACGTAGTAACCAACAAGCTTACGCAACTCCTAACATGTTCGTTGGTTTTCGCCTCTTTAATATAAGAATCAACTATGAATACCAGCCTTAAATCTGATAAAGTCTGGCGAAGTCTAATAAATAATAAAATCATAAATTCCTCGAAGTCTGATGAAGTTCGGCAACATTCGATGAATTCTGGTGAAGTCTTAAAGTCCGTAGTATATACATCTATTTTATGAGTGATTTTCTCCTCGAAATTTGTTCTTTTGTAATTTTTACCTCATTTCAAGATATAGAATCGATCCTCAAAAGATCCAAGCTGTATTCCATTATTTACCACAAGTACTGAACATCTATAGTTCTTGTTACATATACTATAGATTTTAATACCCATGAGTTGTGCGTTCCATTTAAAGATCATAATGCTCACGAGCATCGTTTGTCTTTATTTAACATTTGATAAACGATAAGGATGAAATGATTGCACGAATGTTAAGCCCACATTCTACAATTTTAAAACTCATTCTATATTCTGCGTAAGCGTAGTTGTAAATGGTTGTAGTTGTAAGAATTCATTATTTCTGATCTAATCCGTTTTTGCATGAAAAATATACATTTTTATTAAAAAATAAAAAATTAATTATTCTCTTTATTAAAAAAAAAATTAATAATTAATAATTCTACATTTAATATTTTATATTCTCTATTTAATTTCATATTAATGAAATATATTGTATTAGTACAAAGTTAATTGAAGTTTAGAGTTCAAGTATTCTCCAATTCAACAATAGAGATTGAATAATTCAGTAATTACTAAAGGGGAGATTTATTGTAGAGGCTTTGCTTTACAGTCGTTCTTGTTGGGGTCGGATATGTGTAACGTAGTAGCACCTGTCGAACCACCTGTTACACCGCGTCATTGCAACCGCGTTCCAACATTCCAGTCGAGCGCGGAGAAAACGATGAACGGATGAACGCGCGTGCGCATCGCACATACAGATTCACTTCAAAAGTGACGTATGTATGTATGTCTCACTCGCCGCTGCTTTCACTCACTCTCACTCCGCGCTCATCAACTCCACTCGGCGTTCTGGAAATCTACGCTACCGCGCAGTGCCGTATTTGTTTTCATCGCGGCCCCGTGCTGTCGCACAAATAAACTCAGGGTCGATTCGGTATTTTGAAACGAGTTTCAAAAATGAGCAAATTTTTAAGGTTACAGTGTTGATTATGGAATATTCTAATAATTTCGCTCACTTTTATAATTTTCGCCTCGTTTCAAGACACGAAATCAACTCCCCTTCTTCCTTCCGCCTCTTTGGCGTTTAATTTAAATTATTAAAGAATTTTTTTTTGGAATTTAATTTATACCGACTTTATTTTACTTTACGAGTGGAACAGGACAAGTCAAATTATCTTTCAATTTTTTTGTGAATGATGTAGAAAACAGTAAAAAAATGTATAACAGATTATGGAATATGTGCATCATTCTTTTTGGACTCACGTGCGATATGTGGCGCATTATTTTTATGTTTCGAGAATAAACCAAAGTGTCGCGAGAATCGTAACGGAGAAGTAACGTAAAATTTCAGTCGTTTGACCTCGTGGAAGAGCCCCGACGTCATCAAGCCGTTCTAGTAAATCCGCTCCTGGATGTTTCTGGCAGCGTTGCATTTCCTCCCACCATACGCAGCCCCCGCGTATTGGTCGCAGTCCCTTTAAAATTTGAATCTCTGTCGGTTACTAGTCTGTTGCAACAGTACTCCATGCGGGTATCGCAATTGCGTATCCGTCTTGATCTGGTTGGGTAATCGTGCCCAAGGCGAATTCGCGAATCCAGGACCAGGACCGCGACGACGATCGGTGAATGTGGATCACCTGTTGCTGTTGATTTCCACGAGGATAGTCGTGGCGTGAGGTAAATCCAAAGGATATGCAATATCCTTGAACAAACGAAGGAAAGAGAAGCCTAAGTCTTTTCGCGACACTTTGCAGCACGTTCAAAATTCTACCCGAATATTACTCAAACATCACTCAGATATCGCGCGTTATTGTTTTTTAACATTCAGCGAACAATAAGAATAAGACGATACTAAGCAGAGTAGTACTCCGGTGAGAATCTGAATATAGCTGATAGATCTCATTCATCTCATTGCAGTGCGGACGAACATCCGGCTGCGAGCAATGTCGGAGACGAGCGGGGACAATGCCAAGTACAAGTGGACGCCCGAGAGCACCGCTCTACTTGTCTCGGTGTGGTCCGACCGGCAGGTACAGAAGCAGCTGGAATATGCTCCCCGGCCACAGGTGATCTGGGAGAGCGTGGCCCGCTACATGAAAAAGAAAGGTTACAACGTCGCAGGTAAGCAATGCCGATCGCGTATGAAGCAAGTCCTGGTGTGCTATCGTGAGGCCAAGCGGGTAGGCACTCAAGCTTGCGTGGAACAATACTATGAGACCATAGAACGTGTGTTAAAGAGCAAGCGTCTGGAGCATACTAACATCAATGGTGTGGATACTGTGGGTGAGTACAAGAATTACTGATTTTGTAGTACAATTTTTGATTCGGAATTCCAAAATATAAAAAATATTTAATTTGGCCTGAGCAGGTTTGTATCAATCTAGGTTTGGATTAATTGTACACTCTGCTATTGGTAGAACATATAATGCTATTAATCCAACTTAGGTTAATGCAAATGATCCTAAAACATGATAAAGAATATTCAAGGCATGTTTTCAAAACTTTACTCTGAATAAAAGGGTTATGCCGCCATGCCGGTGTTCAGATGTTATTTCAAGAATGTCTTAATAATCATAAATATTGTAAATAAATAAAATACTAATGTAATAGACATCACAGAATTATATTTATTACTAAAGAGAAGAATAAGACTATTATTTTAGCATCTAATACAAAGCTTATTGTTTCAAAATATTAAGGATTAATGTGCATAGCAAATAGGTTAATATTACTTCTAATTATTATTAGACTCAACTGTAAAGTCACCACCAAAGGATGTAAAAACCAATAAGAATTTGCAGATGAGACTGAAAGTTCAAGAGCCTGTGCAATCTCTCTTTCGAACGGACGCTTTGTCCCCCACATGGGCGATGGGATGTAAGGCATTTTGTTTTTCCATAAAAAATCTTATCTATCTGATGTTAGATTTCATGATTTTTTTTCTTTGCAGATGAAAATGAGTATCCAGAGTCACCTGAATCAAATGAGACCATTGTAGCCAAGCCATACAGAGTCTTTTCTCCTACGAGAGACGTTGCCATAAACACTGGCGAGCGTTTCACTCAGACTAGTAATCAAGCGGTACAGAAAAACCCAATCGTGAATCCAATAGAGAAGCCGATACGATCAATCGAGAACTATCAACAAAATTTATTGGCGCCTTTTTCATACGGAGAGATTCCTTATCAGAACGCAGTGCAGAATGTACAGAATCAAATTATTCAAGAGAACATGCAACAATATCATAATATCCAACAACAAAATTATACTGGATGGAATCAATTACCACAACCAAATGTGCTGACGAATAATCGACTTGATTTCCAGCAGAACGTGCGTAATCAACTATACGTGCCGAATGGAACACAGAACAATGTGATGCAGAATCCTAATGTAGAGAATATCGTGCGCCAGCAAAACCAACTGCACCGAAGTGCACCATATGCAAATAATCAAGCGATGCCGCAGGAGCCGCGGAAAATTGCTTACGCACAAAACATGACTACATATAGACAATATCAAGATGTAGAACCTCGTCTTACTTATATAACGAACATTATTCCTAATGGATCGTCACCGGACTATTCCCCGGACGTTTCTCAAAACTTAAATGATGCTTTCTGCGAGTCAAAGAGCGACGATAAGACACATACCTTGAATGAAACATACAGCCGACCCAATAATCCTACGGCGGATGCAACTGTTGTGACGAACAATGCGACTTGTAACGACGACACTTTGCTGCTGGAATTGTTGTTGGATTCACCTACTCCATCAGAGAACTGTGGAAAATCGCGGGACAGTGCTGTGAATACAGATGTAATACCGAGCGCACCGTTCAGGAAGAAAAAAGCACAAAAATTGGAGCAGCTTGTATTCGATGCAATTAATTCTCAAAATGAAGTTGTTAATAAGGTAGAATATTGTATATTTATAATGTTCTTTTTATTAAACTTTATTATACTTTATACTATTTACTTGACTCGTTGCTCTCTTTATATTTATAATGTTTTATTATATTTGTTATTTTATTTTTCTTCTCTTTTATTTTTTTTTGTTCATATAACATTTATATTTTTAAATAATGCAGCTTTAATATTTATTTCAATTTTTCAGATTTTGGCTGCGCAGAATGATATGGTGACACGATTTCTTGACGTTGACCGAGATAGGCAGAACAGGCTCGAGAATAGATTGGATGATTTATTGAATGTTGTTCATGCTACGGTACTCAATAAGAACGAAACGCCTCCATCACCGCCAATGCCGGAAACTGTGATCACTTCCTTACTTCCGCCACCGAAGCCCGGAATGGTCCCTCCTAAATTGGATTTGGTTCCTCCGAAGCCTTGCCGTGTTCCTTGTACGATTGCGAATTCAAACATCGAACTAATCAATCAGAATCCTGTTCTGACTAGACCCGGCGTTGTGTCACCAATCACTGTTAGTCCAGCAGGCAAAAAGCTCGGCACGATATGGACGAAATTGGGTCCAGTGTCCACATCGCCGTTCGTGAAGGCTCAGCAACGACTTGGTTTTCAGCCTGTCTTCAACAATGACGCACGCACGAAATCGTCGGCAGAAAGACGTATTGTTAAAGAAATAGGCGGATTGCGTATAGACATGCGAGGTTTGATCTATGAAACATCGAAGCTGTTGGAAGCGGAGCGTGAACTCGAGGAGAAGATAGAAAACGCAAGACTGGAATTGATTATGGGTCAGACTTTGACCGCGCGTAGAAAACTGTTCACGCAGCGAGAACCCACTCCCATCATGATATTAACTGCGGCTTTCTTGGACGCCGAATGTCGCATATATGAACAAGATCCGCCTTATCACGGCATCTGGAATTCTCGGAAGGAGATACTCAAATACACACGACGCGATAATCTTGTGGCCGGACAAGGCGAGAGCTACGAGCGTATGCGTCAATTAAACGCGGCAGTTCGATGTAATTATCTGGACTGCGAGCCATGTGATACATCAACTCCAGCAAAACCACTCAACATTGGTCAAAACGCCAATAACGAAGACGGAATGCCGAAACAAACCATTCAGCAACTTGCGCGGCTCGTGATGAACAGCGCGAGATGGCGACATTCCGCTCCGCCGAACCAGCAGCAAAATTTAGTCTGTCCTCCAATTCAAACGGTAAATAAAAACGTTCAGGACGTCGAGTACAATGTGACTTTTACTGCCCCGAAGGCAAATGCACCTCCACCTCCTGGTGAATCGCAAGGATTCGTTAAAGGTTACGACATGCAGCAGAAACAAGACAATCATACTGAAGCAGCTTCTGACGGTAGACCGTTGGCAAATAATCCGCGTCAATCCAAGTTCCCGATGGGTTTCACAACTACTATGTTAGTCGCCAATGATCAAAAAAGCGCAACTCTACCGAAACAAAAGGGCGGAGTATCTAAAGTATTGGGATTCGTCGATAAACCTGTGACCGATCGTAAGAACAATGTTCGTTTCATGGACGAGGCATTGGCTGAACTACAGAGAATGTATATTGAGCGTCAGAATAATGAAATGTCCGAAGCATTATTGCCTTTCGTCATAAGTAACGGTAATAGTGCGATAAGCCTGCAGAATCGCAATCTGATAGAGCGTTATGTGAACGACTTGATGTCGAAGAAGTCGACTAGAGACAAGGACACGGACTCAGATAATGATGACGAATATCTCGACACTACCACTAATATGCATCCAACTTGCGTGATGCGTAGAGGCTCACTGACATCAAATGGCACAGCGTCGACGGAAACTGCTCATTCGACGAAACTTAAAGCAGCTAATCATTGTAGAATTAGTTAAGCACAGGGTGAGACAGAAATAGAATCATATTTTTTATATATTTTTTTCACTTGCGCGATCAGTTTTCTCTATGCATAATTGCTCAATTGTGATGTATACTAGGTTCCTCATCACTTGTTACTTTATGATACACTTATTATTGTTTTTCAATCAACATTATATTCTAATAAAAGTAAAACAAATAATGACCTTACAATAGTTATCGCATAGATGAAAGTTTAAATTAGCGATACTACTTAATGTTTAATCCTTAAATACTAGCAAGTAGCTACATATCAGCGATTAGTTACATATTTTCAAGCAAACTTGATATTAAATCCTCAGAAATTAAAAATTTGGATAATGCACTTAGGTATATTTCATTTCTTTTATAAAGAGAAAGAAGATAAAAATTAGTTATTGAACTATTGATTCAGTATGTGTCTAAGTAGGTCTCTTATTAGTGTTTTCTTCATTGTAAAAACCTGTTATTTTCTACTTTTTGTTATCTTTAAAATTTCCTATGTCAAATTTCCTTTTATGTCGCTATCTCTAGTAACTTCAATGTCTATATTAACATTATTTAATTCTGATTCGACTTTATTGTTACTTTTATATGAATAGAAGACAAAAATATATCACAAAAAGATTTTTTGCTCCTAAGATTATTAAACGATTTGTAATATTAGTATTTGTGATCAAGAGATCGTTATTTTATAAATTTCTTATCAGCAAATTAAAAACAAAAAGATAATGATATACAGTTATATCATTATCTTTTTATATAATATAATTAATATCAGAATTTTAGTGTTTCAAAATTCAAATGAACCTTTTATGCTTTATTTGTTATCAGGCTTCAATTAATATATTAGTAGTATCAATATAGTCAATCATACCATTAGCTTCCCTGTTTTTTACACAATCTTCTCAATTTGTTTAAAAAAAATTAAAAAGTATAAAATATAACTAATTTGATATAAGAACGATAAACAAGTTATTAAAATCTTATATAATAATCTTATAATTTACACAATTTTTATAATTACAATTTCTACTTGTACTTGAACTTCAAATGTTTAATTAATTTTTCTTTTTTTGATAATAAGATAATTGGATCTCTCATATTATCTGATTAAGCTTTGTAAATTTTCTAATTTTTTGCGGAGCCCAAATTGAAAATTGATGATCAGATTCAAAAGAAGAAACATTTCTAAATATTAAAAACATTATGAGATAAACATTTTCCTCAATGTTTTTGTACACTAATTTTATTTTATTTGGTCTAATTTAAAAGCAAGATTGTTTCATGTAAGTCAATGCAAGTATTTAAGGATTAATATATACCTTATTGACAGTTTATATCTACATTAATAATATATCTACATTAACGATTATGTCATTACCATATAGATTTTTAAGGAATAATACATTCCGTAGAAATATATTATACTAATGACTTGAATTGAGCATACATGTGCAATGGTATCTGTTGATACTTTTTATCTATTGTTTTCTTATTATACAATGTTTATTACTTTTGTGTTATATGTATAAGTGATCTATTCGTCTGCTATGCATATACACTGTAAAAAATAAAATGTTAATTTTAATTCGAAGGCGTTGAGTGGATTTTCTGAGCATGCAAAAATGTTAAAATTAACATTTTGTGTTAATGTTAACATTTTTCTCAGAAAATCCACTCAATGTCTTTGAGTTAAAATTAACATTTTATTTTTTACAATGTAGTATGCATAATTACGAGTAGATTAATTGATCAAGCAATTCCGTAAATATTGCACAAGATTCGAGGAAGGAAATTTATTACTTATATCTTTAGATAGTAGAATTTTCATAGGAGCAATCTCGTGTTTTTATACTATGACCTGAATGAATTTATATATACAATATAAAATTTATTCTGCGACATATATAGTAAAATTGTATGTATTGGAAATAAAAACATCGTCTTCCATTCAATGTGCCAAACTAGCGATGTGCAAATTGAATTTCATTTATAAACAAGTGCCTTATAATAAAGAATACAATCTATACTTATAACTCCTATTTTTTATAAACCTTGTATAAAAATTATTAAGAAATTCGTTAAAGAGAAAAAACGGTATGAAATATTTTGGTATACAAAATAATTATATACGTGTGCGTGCGTGCGTGCGTGTGTGTATACACATATTATTTTGTATACCAAAACATTTCATACCGTGTGTGTACACACACACACTCACACACAATACAATGTTTAATCAACGACGATCGATTTTTCAATAATGACTACATTATTTATGTCATATTTATTTATTAAATTGCTATTTTACTTTCATAATACAAGTGCAGTAGTAGTAGTAATAATAGTAATAATAATAATAATAATAACGAATAACATGATAAATATATATATATATATATATTATATATATATATATATATAGGCATTACTTGTTATATTTAAATATATACAACATTTATATGCGTGCATAAAAATTTAACAAGTTATATAATCATGTTATGTAAATATTACGTATCTTGTTTTTATTTTTTATTACATTCACTTTGGTGAGATAATTCAAATTCTATTATTTCAAAGAGGATTACTAAGGTATCCAGAGAAAAGCGAAATTGGAGTTTCTTCATTTGGTGAACTGCGTATAATAGAATACACAAATGGATGGTTTATTTTGAATTCTTCCTCGAAAACCATAGCAAAAGCCTGTACCGCAACACCTGCAACATAATCATTATAAAGCATCGGAGAAATTTCATTAAATGTCTATCTGCAAGACTCCCCTCAATTCATAAACGGAGTCGACATACCTTTTCTAATATGTAAATATGTATTTAATATTGCATATTAGATATTACAAATAATGTCTAAATTTAATATAAATAAAAAAAATTGCGATATTAATAATCTGAAAAGAGCACATTTAATACTCTAAAATGTAATAATACGAGGGCAACTTAATAAGTTCTTAGAAAATCTGTCAGAAGGCACTGGCAGTGTCATGTCACGTTACTTTTTGACAAGTAGTATCCTTCAGCTGATTACTGTCAAATTTTGAGCGGAATTTATCGAGAGGTTTTATTTCTGTAGACGATTAAAGCGAACAACCTTTGTATTTTTTGTAAAATAGAAAAAAACGAGTTTCGTGCAGTGATCAAACATCTTGTATATGAAAAGTTTAACAAGGGCTACATATGAAAAGTACTTATCGAAAGTAATCGTATTGATAATTAGATTAATTGTCGATCAACGATTTCGTAGTTTTTATAAGATGCTTCATTTTTTTCTTCCAAGTATACAAGATCTTCACATATCAGAATCATAATTCTGCCACTTGTACATATCATATCTTATTAACAATATGTTTACACGAATGATTTTTAATCATATAATATCCATGTAAAATTACTCAGCTCTCTGAAGCAATTAAATTTTTAGACTTGTCGACTTCCAACGTTTGAATTAAATAAATGTTAAGGGAGGGAAGAGATATATTGGAAATATGACGAGAATGAGGACAGTGATAATATCATATTGAAGAGATTGCGAAAAAATTTATCAAACTTTAACTTTTATGATTATTCTTGATTTTTATATTTTTTAAGATGCGATATTATATTTTTTCAAGATTACGTCGTTTGTATTTTTATATAAATTTCCGTTATGTGATCAATGATTGTATTTTAAACTAATTCAAGAATGTAAATTTCTACCCTTTATTAATTTTTTAATAAAATGTCGAAATACAAATTTGGAAAGTCCAATTATATCGAAAGTAAAACGATTGTTACAAATTTCAACGTAACTGCTTTGTGTCGGGATGCAAGAAACGATTATTATTGATCGTTGCATCACCAACTAGCGTAATCATTAATAAGTTGATTGATTAGTTTAGTACATTAATTTTATTTCTAAACTATCGAACTAATTTAATTTAATGACATTTCCGGCGAACAGCATTATAAAGGATTCCTCTTCCCGTTTCGATTTAATAATGCCATAAAGGAATGGATGATCAATATGAATCTCTTCGGTCACTTGGTTGATAATAAGAGAATAATTCACCGACTCGACTTCTGAAACAAATCATTGATCTCCGTAAGACTTCATTTTCATTATATTTTTTTGACACCCCATGTACCAAGCTTCGCGCTTTATGCACATTTTTTATTCTTATAAAGAAACGCACAATGTACATTACTTTCATGCTGCATGCTCCATTTTATTTGTATAAAGTTAGTATACTTCCTAAAGAAAGTTAAATAGTTAGGAAGTCTCTTTGTACAAAGTAATTAAAGGTTACATAGAGGATTACAGAATTCTATAGAAATGTACTGCGGCAATAGATCCGATAATTGAAATAGCGTTTCTTAATACATAATTTATTTCACTTTTGAGTTTTCATCTCTTAGTTCTTTATAATATCATATATACATATATATATATCTATATATATATATATATATATATAAAATATTATAATATTTATAAAGTAACGAAAAGTTATTTTTCAAGTAACGGTAACTGTAACGAGTTACTTTTAAAAAGCGATAACTGTAACTGTAACTAGTTACATTTTTTACTCGGTAACGAGTAACTGTAACTAGTTATTTTTAAAAAGTAACTTTCCATTCCCTGGTTAAATATGGCGAATTAACTATCGGGTTGCATCAAGAAACATTTTATCGTTTATTTAATATTGTCCTTTTGTTAAATAAGCATTGAATTTAGTTCTTTAAAATATGCACAAAGTTGACTAAACTAATATTGCCAGTAAATGAACGTAATCGTAAATAATTTTATGAATACGATGAAATAAATCTGCAGTAGAAAAGAATAATTTTAATATTTGACTGAACTATTCCACAAAATACTAGGAACTCAATAAGTTATTACTTTTGTAAGGATTGCGGGATCGACTCGAATTTATTTTCGAGCCTATAGTTAAACTTAATAAATTATCAAATAAAATAATATTATAGTCAACTTACATTTTTTT